TAGGCACAGACCTCTTCACATGGAACACCAAAAACTTCATCGTCATTGTAGACTACTACAGTAGATTCTTTGAAATGGAACAACTCACGAGCTGCACCTCACTTGCAGTAATCGCCAAACTCAAGTCTGCGTTCGCCCGTCACGGCATCGCAGAGACAGTCATCAGTGACAACGGACCATGCTACAGCTCTGAGGAGTTCCGCTGCTTCGCAAACGCGTGGAATTTCACCCACACCACCACAAGTCCAAACAACACAGAAACACAGACCCCTACCTCGCTCTGCTGGAGTACAGGAACACCCCAGTGGACAACCTCCAGTCACCGGCCCAGCTTCTGATGAGCCGACGACTACGTTCCATACTCCCAGCGACCAGTAGGCATCTGCAGCCAAAGGTAGCACCTCAGAAAGCTATCCAAGACAGACGGAAGGCGTGCCAACACCGCCAACAAGCATACTTCAACAGAGGCACCAAGCCATTGCCTCTCCTTCCTGCTGGCACACCTATTCGCTTCCGTCAAGAGGATGGTTCCTGGAGACCTGCAACGGTAACACAACATGCACACACACATAGGAGCTACCACATCCAGACAGAAGATGGACAAACTCTACGACGCAACCGTTGGCACCTCCGCGAAAGCAGAGATGCTCCAGACACTAAAGACACACAGCATGCAGAAACACACACCAATAACGCACAGCCACCACAACCTGAACCTGCGGACCACCCGCAACCAAAAAACCAACAAAAGCCCAATTACACAACACGGTTTGGCCGCATCTCCAGGCCAAGACAAGTCCTTGACTTGTAATGTAAAGGGTGTAGGCGGATCGCTGCCCTAAAAAAAAAAAAAAAAAAAAAATGAAATGTGAAAAGAAAATGTTTACTAAATATGGAAAAGAAAATGTGTTTACAAACCTGTTACTTACCTGATACTTCCGAAACACTGTGAAATCAGTTTGACTGCCTGTTCTGTCTTTTTCACAACTAGTTCACCTTCAAGTTACTTGAATCATACAAAAAATCAAAACATTGTTTCTGATTATAAAACTAATGACTTATCTACATCCACATCATATGTCATTTAAATGCTGCCCGTACTTGTTCACATTACGGCAATAACACTAATGATGACCACAGACTGTACTTTTCAGAATGCTTATATATGCATTAAGTACAATTGTTATGTTCACGGAATTAATGTTGTGTGTATTAGGTAATGCCATTTGTTTCTTAAGAAGGGAGATGTAACATCCTGACTGTATGTCCAAAAAGGGACACCGTAGCCCTCGGGCAAGTCTCGAAAATCTCGCGAGACTGTGTCGAGGTTGGTGTAATAATAATAAAAGCGCACAGTTCGAGTGGTCCGTGTCTGGTCCAGTTATTATATGCAAAATATGATTTAGCCAATGAGCAAACATTACAATCAAGTGCAGTGAGTTTGCTTCTTTCTTCTCTGAGATAATCAATAATATCAGAAAGGTGATCAGCTCATCCTTGACTTGCGCTGGGGTCAAACAGATCAGACCACTACCTGAGAAAGTAGTTACTATGTCTGTTTTCGAAGAAATTGATGGCAAAATTTTGGAAGAAACCGTACAGCACCTTAAAACATCAACCTGCGCCCTTGACACACTTCCCACATCTTTTTTCAAAAATGTGTTAAACAGCTTAGAAGCAGATCTCCTAGAAGTGGTAAATGCCTCACTTCTTTCTGGGAGTTTTCCAAACTCCCTGAAAACTGCAGTTGTCAAGCCCCTCCTGAAAAAGAGCAATCTGGATAAGACCATCTTAAGCAATTATAGACCGATCTCAAATCTTCTTTTCATAGGCAAGATCATTAAAAAAGTTGTCTTCAATCAGCTGAACAAATTCCTAAGCTTGAATGGATACTTTGACAATTTTCAATCTGGTTTCCGATTGCATCACAGCACAGAGACAGCTCTCATAAAGATAATAAACGATATTCGCTTAAATACTGATACAGGCAAATTATCAGTGCTGGTACTACTCGACATCAGTGCTGCATTTGACACTGTCGATCACAACATACTTCTTGACAGGCTGGAAAACTGGGTGGGGCTTTCTGGGATAGTGCTAAAATGGTTCAGGTCATACTTAGAAGGGAGAGGTTATTATGTGAGTATAGGAGACCATAAGTCTGAGTGGACACCCATGACATGCGGAGTCCCTCAAGGCTCAATTCTTGCGCCACTCCTATTCAACCTGTACATGCTCCCAATGAGCCAAATAATGAGAAAGAACCGAATCTATTACCACAGCTATGCAGACTACACACAGCTCTACTTATCCCTATCGCCTAATGACTACAGCCCCATTGACTCCCGTTGCCAATGCATTGATGAAGTAAACGGTTGGATGTGCCAAAACTTTCTTCAGTTAAACAAAGACAAAACTGAAGTCATTGCATTTGGAAACAAAGATGAAGTTCTCAAGGTAAATGCATACCTTGACGCTAGGGGTCTAACAACTAAAAAACAAGTCAGGAATCTTGGTGTGTCTCTAGAGTCAGACCTTAGTTTCAGTAGTCATGTCAAAGCAATAACTAAATCAGCATACTATCATTTGAAAAATATTGCAAGAATTAGATGCTTTGTTTCCAGTCAAGACTTAGAGAAACTTGTGCATGCTTTTATCACCAGCAGGGTGGATTATTGTAATGGACTCCTCACTGGCCTTCCCAAAAAGACCATAAGACAGTTGCAGCTCATACAGAACGCTGCCGCCAGGCTTTTGAGCAGAACCAGAAAATTTGAACATATCACACCAGTCCTCAGGTCTTTACACTGGCTCCCAGTTACATTTAGGATTGATTTTAAAATATTATTACTGGTATATAAATCATTCAATGGGCTAGGACCTCAATATATTGCAGATATGCTCACTGAATATAAACCCAACAGATCACTCAGATCATTAGGATCACATCAGTTAGAAATACCAAGGGTTCACTCTAAGCATGGGGAGTCTGCTTTTAGCTATTATGCTAGCCGCAGCTGGAACCAGCTTCCAGAAGAGATCAGATGTGCTCCTACAGTAGTCACATTCAAATCCAGACTCAAAACACATCTGTTTAGCTATGCATTTACTGAATGAGCACTGTGCCAATGTTCGTCCGACTGTTTTCACTGTACTTTATTTTATTTTTTATTCTAAACTGTTTTAATTATTTCCTCCTATGTAAAGCACTTTGAATTACCATTGTGTATGAAATGTGCTATATAAATAAACTTGCCTTGCCTTGCCTTGCCTTACTTTTAGTAAATATGCAGGCTCCACACCACACCACACCTCGTGGTTTGAAACACTAACCTTTACCAAAGAAGAGGCAGACAGAGTGGAGGCAGAGACTGTAATGCAGGCAGCCTGTAAGGCCTGGCGCAGGCACAGAGTAGGAAGAATCACCAGCTCGTTTGCTCACACTGTTCTTCACACTAATCAAGAGAAACCCTCAAACACTGTAATCAGAACAATCATGTCAGAGGCTAAAAACATAAATAGTCTTTACCTTAAGTGGGGAAGAGACAATGAAAAACATGCCCTAGACACCTACAAATATGCACTGGGCAGTGGCCAATTATCTACCAACATATTGGTAACTGAAGATCTATGCAAAGTGCATGAAGGATTAAAGTGCATGAAGGATTAAGAGTGGACAGATCAGGCTTTAGAATCAGCCATGAAAGACCATACTTTGGTGCATCATGTGATGCCTATGTGTCATGCGATTGTTGCGGCAAGGGTGTGGTGGAGGCAAAGTGTCCGTATAAGTGGGCAGGTCAGCAGTCAGTCAGCTGGACAGATGATGAGAAAGGGCACCTTTCCACATTGTTTTCTTTGAAGGCCAACCATTCTTACTACACTCAGGTACAGTTTACTCTGCAAAGGCAAAGCTATACACAAAGAAATCAGTAGCTGTCAACAGAATTGTGACATTCTTTAACAAATACTGTAGGCACATTTTAATAATACTTCCTTTCCCTCTTTCTCCTTGCCAAAGGTTCAGCCGCAAATGTTTGTGTGTGCAGCACAGTATGCAGATTTTGTTACTTGGACCTCACAGCAGACCACCATCTTTAGAATCTTAAAAGATGATGAATTCATTCACGGAATGGTGGACGTGATCAGCAGATTTTGGGCAAAACACATCCACCCACGATTGATGACAACAGTGCTACAAAGTGAGGTGAGAAAAATAATAATCTTTTTTAATGGGATACTCCACCGTTTTTTCATATTAAACTATGTTATTCCCTTAACTAAGACGAGTTGATACATACCTCTCTCGTCTCAGTGCGTGCACTCAATCGCTCTGGCGCGCGAGACACTTTGATAGCACTTAACTAGCCCAGTTCATTCAACATGGGCCAAGCAGAGAAGCGAGCAAACACCTCCACGTTTTCCCTATTTAAATACAGTTACACGAGTAGTGTACTCGACCTAGGACGGTGACACAAAATAAAACCTTGCGCTTTTCTAAGCGTGTAAAGTGGATAACTATATTGTATGGCGGAATACCATAGCAAGTGCTTGGGAGCACTTCGACTCAGCGCATATATATCTATCAGGGCTTGAGGATCACAAAATCAGCACTTCGACTCGGCGCAGTAATATCATCACTCCGGAGAGTGAGGAGGGGGAGAGGACTTTTTACGAGTGATGATATTACTGCGCCGAGTCGAAGTGCTCCCAAGCACTTGCTGTGGTATTTCACCATACAATATAGTTATCCATTTTACACGCTTAGAAAAGCGCAACGTTTTATTATGAGGTGTTTGGTCGCTTCTCTGCTTGGTCCATATTGAATGAACTGTGCTATCAAAGTGTCTCGCGCCCCAGAGCGATTGAGTGCACGCACTGAGACGACAGAGGTATGTATCAACTCGTCTTAGTTAATTGAATAACATGGTTTAATATGAAAAAACGGTGGAGTATCCCTTTAAATAATCTATATAAAAAAATAGAGACACTATTGAACATATTTTAGTATTTATTTAATAATACTTTGTGCCATGTTTACAAGTGCTGCACAAACATTTACAAGTTTGTCAACTGTTGCTTGCCCTTGGTTTTTGTCCCGTGCAGACTGAACCAGACAGCGAGGGAGTGGACCGTCAAGGATGTGAGAGCGACCTTTCAGCACACCAATCACCCGCTCTGTAAGGACGACAACAACAAAAAGGGAGTGCTTTTCTAAATTGTCTTTTCAAATAAAACAGCATTGCAATAATCTAGTTTTACTTACCAATATGAATCCGGATGTTTGACTTCCTACGAGACATTTCCACCTCTCTCCCAGGTAACTGCTTCCTTCCTTTTGTGAATGACGGTGTTAGCAGCTCGACACCGAGGAGGGAAAAGTCATCCTGGAGTGTAAACCCCCTGTCTGCTAATATCTAGAGATGAAAAAAATCCACCATAATATTGCATTGTATCTACTTTGTTCTGCTTTTTCACCAGAGGGTGGTGACATGACACCCTAATCAAATGACATGAATGTGGTTAGTTGAGATACACGTAATTCCAATTTTACCTGATCACCTGGAGAATGGTACACTGAGGACAGGAATCCTGACTGTCGAACAATATGCACATCAGAGGCCCTTCCTCCCCATCCATTTGACAAAAATGTAATGCTGCCAGATGGACTGCATGGTATTAGATATTTCACTGTTGTCCATTTCTTGTAGTTAGAGTATGATTTTGCTCTAAGAAAGGATACATAATAGCAATGACATCTAGTTTTTATTTCAATATGGGATGTGAGAGTGTGTAAAGACATTTATTGTGACACTCACCTAGCTTTAAGATTGTGTCATGACGAATGAGGCGGAAGCAAAAGTGCAAGTAACTCGTTTATTTTGTAGAATGAAGAACAGTCTCAAGAGCGTTTGGTGACGCAGGGACAAGATGGTCAGAGTCCAAGAGAAGAGTGCTGAGGTGACGAAGAGTGAAGGTGAGTAATCCAGACACGAACAGAAACCGGAACCAGGACAGGAATGAACCGCAACACAGCAAGGACAGCTGCTAGAGGAACAGGACCAAACACGAACGAGAACATCAAACAACGATCTGAAAAGGAGAGAAGAATGCAGTGAGTATTTATGGGAGAGCAGATTGGATGCAGCTGGAGAGGAGATTGATCAGCTGATCGCTGATCAAGTGAAACGAGCCGTCACGCCCACAATCACACACGCCCACACACATACCAACAACTACACGAGACAAGGAACAATGTATTTACGAACCGTGACAGTACCCCCCCCCCCCCCCCCCCCCCGACTCCCTTACCTGTCTATTGTACACGAGACAAGAAGGAACAATGCATTTACGAACCGTGACAGTACCCCCCCCCCCCAGACTCCCTTACCTGTCGATTGTAATCATCGATAAGAGAGTGATCCAAGATGTCTCTAGCAGGTACCCAACTTCTCTCCTCCGGACCGTAACCTTCCCAGTCCACCAAATACTGGAATCCGCGTCCCCTCCGCCTCGAGTCCAGAATACGATTAACGAGGACAGACTGACAATTGCCTCCAATAACTTACAAAATTCTTGCCAAAATCTTGACACAAACTGGGGTCCTCTGTCGGAAACCACGTCTGTCGGGAGGCCATGTAAGCGAAAAACGTGATCCACGACGGTCAACGCTGTCTCCTTGGCTGAGGGTAATTTGGGCAAGGGAATGAAATGGGCCACCTTTGAGAACCGGTCCACCATGGTCAAAACTACCGTGTTCCCTCGAGAGGGTGGGAGGGCGGTTACAAAATCTAGCGCAATGTGGGACCAGGGTCTCGAAGGGACTGGCAGCGGTTGAAGTAACCCATCAGGAGGACGATTGGAAGTCTTACCAATGGCACAAACTGAGCAAGCCAAAACAAAATCGTGAACATCCTGAGCCAGAAGTGGCCACCAGAATCGTTGCTTGACCAAAAACTTAGTTCGACTGACTCCTGGATGACAAGCCACGTTGGAACAATGCCCCCACTGAATGACGTCAGACCATAATCCCTCCGGTACAAACAAACGGTTTGGTGGGCAACCGGGCGGAGGCGTGACCCCTTCTAAGGCCTTCCTGACCATTGATTCGATCTCCCATACGAGAGTGGAGACAAACAGAGTCTCGGGTAAAATACACTCGGGAGTAGACGGGCGTTCGGAAAGCTCAAAAATGCGGGACAAAGAATCGGGTTTAACGTTTTTGGAACCCGGGCGGTACGAGAGAGTGAAATCAAAACGTCCGAAAAAAAGTGCCCACCGAGCCTGCCTGGAGTTCAATCTTTTGGCAGTCTTAATGTATTCCAGATTCTTGTGATCGGTCCAAACGATAAAAGGTACCCCTGACCCTTCTAACCAGTGACATCATTCCTCCAACGCTAACTTGACTGCCAACAACTCTCTGTTACCAATGTCATAGTTGCGTTCGGCAGGGGATAAACGATGAGACAAAAACGCGCACGGATGCATTCTGTCGTCTGTGGGAGAACGCTGGGAAATAACTGCACCTACCTCCACCTCTGATGCGTCGACCTCCACCATGAACTGACGTGATGTATCAGGGGAAACGAGAATGGGGGCTGAAATAAACCGGCCTTTGAGTGTGGCAAACGCAGCTTCCGCTGCGTCTGACCACCTGAACGTCGTTCTGGGGGAGGTCAAAGCGGTCAGAGGCGAGGCTAGTTGGCTGAAATTGCGAATAAACCGCCGGTAAAAATTGGCAAACCCCAGAAACCTCAGTAGGGCCTTACGGGAATCTGGACTTGGCCAATCCACCACAGCCTTAACCTTCTCAGGATCCATACGTATTCCCTCAGTCGACACAATGTATCCTAGGAAAGGAACAGACCGTGCATGAAAATCGCATTTCTCCGCCTTGAAAAAAAGCCCATTCTCTAGCAACCTCTGAAGCACTCGCCGAACGTGCTGCATGTGTTCCTGGAGAGAAGACGAAAAAATCAATATGTCATCCAGGTAAACATATGAACTGATCAACCATTTCTCGCAGCACGTCGTTGACGAGCGCCTGGAAGACTGCTGGGGAGTTGGACAGCCCGAAAGGCATAACCAAATATTCAAAATGACCCCTGGGGGTGTTAAAAGCAGTCTTCCATTCATCCCCCTCCCTGATGCGGACCAAATGATAAGCGTTACGTAAGTCCAATTTAGTAAAGACAGACGGTCCCTGCAACCTCTCGAAGGCTGAAGACATCAACGGCAAAGGATAGGTATTCTTTACCGTGATGTTGTTCAGCCCTCGGTAATCAATACAAGGTCGCAGGGATCCATCCTTCTTCACAAAAAAGAACCCCGCCCCCGCTGGAGAAGAAGAAGGGCGGATGAACCCCGTTGCTAGAGAATCAGAAATATATTTCTCCATAGCCTCCCTCTCTGGGACAGAGAGCGAATAGAGCTTGCCTTTAGGCGGAGACTTACCTGACAGTAAATCTATGGCACAGTCACAGGGACGATGCGGAGGGAGAGAAGCAGCACGAGACTTACTGAACACTTCCTTCAGGTCTAGATACTCTGTGGGCATGTTAGATAAATCCATTGCCTCCTCCTGAAAGACAGAAACAGACGAACAAGCAGACACAAGACAGGACTCATGACATTTACTGCTCCACTCCAATACTGCTCTCTGCTGCCAGTCTATTTTTGGGTTGTGTTTGATGAGCCATGGGTGCCCAAGCGCAATGGGTGCAAGAGGGAAGTCTAAAACATAAAATGAAATAATTTCTGAATGATTGCCAGATGTAATAAGCGTGATGGGTCTGGTGATGAGAGAGATGGTGGGTAGATCTTGGCCATTGAGTGCGTGGACTGCTGGGAAAACAGGAACTTGAAATCTGCATGCAAACGAATGGTCCATAAAATTACCTTCGGCTCCCGAGTCCACCAGTGCTTGACAATTGTGATCGTGAGTTGACCATCTTAGTCTTCCCGGGAGGAGTGTAGATGTAGATGAGGTCTTCGCAGCAGAGATCCCACCCGACAGTAGCCTCATACTTACTGCCGGGCTGTGCCTTTTCCTGGGCAGTTATAAGCAAAATGACCCGAGGCCCCGCAGTACAAGCATAGCCCTTGGGATCTCCGCCTTTCCTTCTCCTCCCGAGAAAGCCGAGCTCGCCCGACCTGCATGGGTTCGTGATCGTAGACGGGGCTGACCGCGTCCCCGCCGCTGGACCGCTGGCTCTCGGCACCCTCTAGAGACCGACTTGGCAGTCTCCACCGTTCCACTCTGGTCAGGCGTGCATCAACTCGGAGGGCCAGGTCCACCAGGGCATTCAGCGAAGTGGTGAGGTCCAGGGGCCTCATTTATAACCGTTGCGTACGAACAAAACAGGCCCTGAAAGAGGCGTACGCCACTTCCGACGCATAAGTTGTGATTTATAAAAACGAACTTGATGGAAAAATGTGCGCAACTGCACGCAAACTCTGACCCATGCGTACGAACGTTTTCGAGACGGAGCAGTTTGGCGACACCGATGGTGAGCTGGAATTAAATGTCTTTTTGGTCACTTTTAGACAGAAAATCTAAAGAAAATTATACATAGGCTATACAGAAAGATAATACAAATATAATTTCACTCACCAAGCATATCACTCGAGGCAAATATTCATCCCTTCTTAAATGTCCGCGCCAGCAAGCGCGTTGTGCCGTTTAGTGAAACTAACGCCTATCTAAATACAGAGTCCTAATCATAAAGGCTACCTTAGCCTGTTCGTTGCAAAAGGTCCTGGGCTGCAATGAAAAATCCATAGAGGACCGAGTCAAAAATGCCCTGCAATAATTAGGCTCACCGGCAGAGGATTGTGGAACAGGTAGGCGGGGCTCCAACTGTAGAGTGCTCTCCGGTGGTGTGGGGGGAACGGCCGGTGTGGGCGGCGCAGTGGGAGCTCGCAGATGTTGTAGTTGCTGGGTGAGCTCGGACACCTGCTTCACCAAAGCTTGCACGGCCCGAGTAGTGTCGTTAAGACCTCTTTCCTGGTTGTCCAAGCGTCTAATGCTGGTGTTCACAAAATCCTCCAACGCCGACGAACTACCTGCTGCTTCCATCTGAGGGTCAGATCGTTCTGTCATGACGAATGAGGCGGAAGCAAAAGTGCAAGTAACTCGTTTATTTTGTAGAATGAAGTACAGTCTCAAGAGCGTTTGGTGACGCAGGGCCAAGATGGTCAGAGTCCAAGAGAAGAGTGCTGAGGTGACGAAGAGTGAAGGTGAGTAATCCAGACACGAACAGAAACCGGAACCAGGACAGGAACGAACCGCAACACAGCAAGGACGACTGGAACAGGACCAAACACAAACGAGAACATCAAAGAACGATCTGACAAGGAGAGAAGAGTGCAGTGAGTATTTATGGGAGAGCAGATTGGATGCAGCTGGAGAGGAGATTGATCAGCTCATCGCTGATCAAGTGAAACGAGCCGTCACGCCCACAATCACACACGCCCACACACATAACAACAACTACACGAGACAAGAAGGAACAATGTATTTACGAACCGTGACAGATTGCTGGGGTACTCTGTCCTGATTTCAAAACAATCTATGATTGCTGTGAGTCGTGGGAACTGGGCCTTCATTTGTGGAGGTATCAGTGAAAAACATTCCCTATCAGGCCAGTGAACTAAAAAGGAAATTTTCCCATACATCAGGTCAAGCCATCGGATAGAAATTTGCCTGACAGTTATTTGAGGCATTTTCAGAACGTGACTTAAGAAAAAAA